TTGTTGTTCCCTTGTCCCTAGGTTGGCCAACCCTCCTCCCTTCCCCTACCTCCCACACTCCCATGTCCCTCCAGGGCCATCGGTCCCTTTATTTTCTTCTCATATATGTACATATATTTTTGTCCAATCTCTCTTATCTAGGTGGGTGTGCAGACATAACAATGTGTGAATAAAATTGGGATTGGCTTTGACAGCACAGCGCCAAAGCGGCTCATAAGAACCTGGCGACGACGGCTGCAGCACTGACAAGCCAACAAACAATAAAGCCGCTGACATACAAAATTTAAAAAAAGAGGAAAAAGTAAAAAAAAACCGAACAGATAGGCTGAAAGAGGAAAAAGAAAACGGAAAGAGGAAAAAAACCAAACAACCAAAAAAAGCCTGTTAGTAGATCAAGGTCTGTTTGTTGACCTTTAAGAACGGTTTCTGGACGAGTCTAATGAGGTGCCACGTCCTGGCCCCAGCGTCCATCGTTTGTCTTCCCTTGGGACCTCCTTGCTCTGCTTCCCTGCCGCTCCATTGCACGCCCCCAGTGATTTGCCTCAGTATGGTGGAGTCAGCTCAGTCGCCCACCCCACACTGTGACTCCAGTGCTGTCCTGTGCAGGGCCATGGGTCAGCTTGGGACGCCACATCTCGCCGTGGGGACAGCCACACAGTCCTTTCTGTACACTGGGCCCCCCAGCTGGGCCATCGTCCTCTGAGTTTGGTGGGCCCAGTTGGAGGAGGAAAAGTGTGGAGCACAACTGGGCCCACAGTTCTGGAACTTAATAGCTGAGGGAAAGTATCCAAACATGAGAAAATGTGCTACCTCCTTGACTGTATTATTCGACTCTACTTATTTATGTGAATTAGCCTTTTCCTACATAAAGATCATTAAGTCCAAGTACCGTTCCACCCTGACTGATGATCATTTGGAAGTGTGCTTGAGGCTGGCTGTCAGCAGCTACTGTCTGGACCATGCATCCCTGGCTCATTCCATTCAGTGCAAGTCATCAGAGTAAACTCAGGTAATGACAAAAAATGTACATAGTTAATTGTGTAGTGCAATAGGCACATAAACATACATTGTACATATAAAGAATTCTCAATGCATTTATGAATAAATGTAATAAATAATATGTTTGCATTTTTGTAGTTGGTAGATCATTTTGACTTGATCATTTTATAAGTAGCTAGCATGCTGAAAAAGTGTGAGCACCCCTGGATTAGTGGGTATTTCCACAAGGTAGAGCTGTTAACTTTGTATTAAAGTCCTGAAAAAATGAATTCATATGTGTAATTATTGGACCTTAGAACGACTATTTTGGTTTTCCATTATTTCTTATGAGAAAAATATCTTCAGTTCTCTAAATTTTGGGGTTTTGAACACAATTTTGGAACAAATTGAGTTTGACAACTGACATATCATTGTACATGGGTTGGAATCTTAGAATAATCAACCAGAAATTGCTGATGATTTTTGATATGTTTTCCCAACATAAATATGTAAAAATAAATATTTGTTTCCAGTTCCTATCTGTACCAGTGTACATCCTCTGGTCTAGCCAGATTTGTAAGGTAGAATTGGGATCATGATAGTGGGATGGAGGGGGTGAGGAAGCATTTAGGAACTAGAGGAAAGTTGTGTGCTTCATCATTACTATCCTGCACCCTGACTGGCTCATCTCCTCCCGGTGACCCTTCTGTAAGGGGATGTCTAGTTGCCTACAGATGGGCTTTGGGTCCCCACTCCGCACGCCCCCTCATTCACAATAAGATTTTTTGTTCTTTGATAACTGATCCCTTCAACACCTTGTGATCAAACAGGCTGTTATGCATCTTCCACATGGGCTGTGTTGCTTCTCAGCTAGATGGCTGCTTGTTTGCCTTCAAGCCTTTAAGACCCTAGACGCTATATCTTTTGATAGCCAGGCTCCATTAGCTTTCTTCACTACATTTGCTTATGCACCCAGTTTGTCCTCAGCGATTATGTCAGGAAGGTGAGCATCATGGAATGCCAGTTTAATGAAAAAAGGAAACAGGGAATCCATGATGGATGATCCCTTCAGGACCCGTAGTGAGAGTGGCGATAACTGGAGGGTGGAGGGAGGGTGGGGTAGAAAGGGGGAACTGATTACAGTGATACACATATAACCTCCTCTCTGGGGGACAGACAACAGAAAGTGGGTAAAGGAAGACGTCGGACAGCAGTGTAAGATACGACAAAATAATTTATAAATTACCAAGGGTTCATGAAGGAGGGGGTGTGAGGAGGGAGGGGGGAAAATGAGAAGCTGATGCCAGGGGCTTAAGAGAATGATATGTGCTTTACACAATTGATGTATGTATGGATTGTGATAAGTGTTGTATGAGCCCCCAATAAAATTATTTTTAAAATAATAAAATAAATATTTGGTAGCAAAGAATGAGAATGGGACTTTCAAAGTAATTATTTTAACATTTTTGGTGCAATGGATCTTGAGATACTAACAAGTAATAATTTGCTACCCTTTCTAAAAATGTGTACATTAATTATAACTAGTTAGTTTACTAATTTTAAAATGCTAAATTTGATTTAATGTGGGATTATCAGTGCCTCTTAAATAACGGTAGAAAATTTTTTATCATGGGAGTTGACATAATGAATCATTGTCTTCGCATTCACTTTAAACAGCGTCTCAAATTGCCCAATGACTTGCTCCA